CAGCTGCCCACCTGCCACCATCCTGCTCCTCCGTCCTCGGTATCCAGCCTGGTGCTGATGGGGGGGGCGAGCCTGGGGTCTGTGGGACCCCCGTTAGCAATGAGTCCCCTGGAGAGGGGCTGCATGTCCCTGGGGCCAGGGCCCAGGGCAGCTTCGGCATCAGGAGGTGGCATGAGCATGCAAGGGCTCTGCTGCTGCTTGTCACACGGCTGTCGTGCCAGGAATTAGGGTGCCCCAGGTCTGGGTGGTGAGGGGGCCTGTGCCCCCCACCACAGCCCTCAGGTCTCCTTGCGGTGCTGGAGCCCTCAGTGTCCCCCCAGCCCTGGCTGTGCCCCCCAGCCCTGGCTGTCCTCACAGCCCCTGGTATCACCACAGCTCCCAGTGTTCCTGCAGGCCTTGATATCCCTCCAGCCTTCTCTGTCTCTGCAGCCCCTGCTGTCCCCACAGCCCTCCATGTCCCCCCAGCCCCCAGTGTCCCCAGAGCCCCCGGTGTCCCTGCAGCACCCTGTGGTGCGGGCTGGCTGCTGGCAGCCACGTGCCACGATGTTCCCTCACAGGGAAAACATGTCAGTCTCCTCACACCAGCCATGTCCCATCGGATCAACGAGGTGCTGCGGCGTGTGCTGGGAACACACGTGGCAGAGCACACGGGGAGCGCCCCAGGAGCCCCCCTGGCACTCTAACACCTCCCATCACCTCCTGTCACCTCCCCTTGCGAGGACACGGAGGGTCCTCAGCCATTTCCAGGAAAAAATGGCAAGGGGCACCGGTGGCCCCAGAGCAGGGGGCAGCACAGGGAGGGACCTTGACTCCCCAGCACTGACACAGGAAAGGGTCAGCACCGCTGGGGGGGTGCTCGGCTGGTGCATTGCCCTGAGGTGGGACAGGGGCAGGCAGATCTGACCCCACCACGGGCCATCCCTGGGGTCTGGTGCCAGAGGTGCTCCCCCTACTCCCCCCCCCATGTCCCACCAGAGCCTCTCCTCATCCCGCGGGCAGCAGCAAAGCCCACGGTGAGTCCCCAGCGAGAGCCTGGCCATTCCAGGGATCCACCTCCCCCCTATGTGACATCTGTGGCACTGCCATGCCACGTGGAGACAGGTTCGTCAGGCCCAATTAGTGCTGAAGTCCCCCATGAGCTACAGCAGGGGAGTGCGGGAAGAGTGTGGAGAGCAAGAACGCTGAGGCAGCACCACTGTGCACAGGGGCACGAGGGGGCTGGAGAGAGGCACCCCCAGCCCTGGGGTGCACCAGGGAAGGGGCACAGTGCTCACAAAGCACAGCAGGGCTGTGGCACACTCGTGCACCACAGAGCAGGGCTTGGGAGCAGCTCTGTGCACCACATCCCACCCATCCCAGCGCCCAGAGTCAGCCTAATTAACAGCAAAATGAGAACACACCTGGCCATCCACCCACACTGCAGAGGGGACAGCCAGAAGGACACAAAGGGGTGCCTGGAAGGGCAGAAGGCTTGGGCAAATTCCCAGTTCCTCTGGGAATGGGGACTGAGAGAGCAGGGAGGGCATGAGATGCCTTTCCCCACAGACCAAATGGGCTCTGAGGAGAGAGGGCAGCAGA